TCCAAAATAAAAGCACAAATTCACTTTTCTGCGCTTTACTTTACTTTCTTGCTAACACTTAGTAAGTGACACTGCAATACTAAGCCACTTGATATATCCTTAAACGCTATTGACTTGTCAGTTGAAGAAACAATTTTCTTTAGCTATAAAATCTCTATTGGGTGAGGTCATGCCTCGATTRGGCGAAGGCACACAGGCTGGCCAACGATTTGAGGCTATTTAAACACACCCACAAAAAATTGCGTGTTTAGCTACAGAGGCTTGTAAAATAGAAGTATATACATACAAACATATGTATATCATGAAAACGCTATCTATATTTATATACATACATACATATGTTTAAACCGCTTGGTGGCGCTAAAGCTTACACTTTACAGAAATATCGGCTTTTGAGTGACGAGACAGAAACAAAACGCTGAAAACATGAAAATGCTRTAAATGCTGGCAATGAAATGCTTTGGACACGACGTCAATGCGGTTGCGTGGGTGAACAAACATATGTATGCCGTTGAAGGTGTGTGCTGTATTGCCGGCGGCAAAAGCGTAGAAATCAATAACTTGTATATGCGTTGTGGCACGGCGCTTGGTATTGCGTTTCGCTTTTAATTTCTCGCATTTAACTACCATCGAATACAAGCAAACTATAATACTGATGGATGTTTCTGCACATATTTATGAACATTAAACTAGTTGATTTGAATAGTTGTAGCAATATGAGGCTGATTGTTAGTACTGTAAGCACGTTAGATGGGTGGGAAAAAAATGGCGAAAGCGGTTAAGCGTTGAGAGATGACGAAGAGCGGCTTATGTATATGGAAAAGTGTGGTTGTGTGCGTGTATGTGTAAGATTTTTCTGCAGCAGCGCTATATGTGTGATAGCACAGTTCAAGGTCACTGTGTATCTGCATAAACACAGACACAGACGTCCCACCACCGCCCAAAACCCCAACAACACACTCACCTGGCGATGCCGTGATTTTTAAGTGCTGCCGTACTTGTAATTTCGATTTGACTATCCAATAGCGATGTGTTGCCCGAAGTGCCACCGCCATGCTTGCTCTTGCTCTCTTTGCCATAATGGCGTGTGGGTATGAGTAGATGTCCATAGGAGATTTCCTGTAAAGCAACGGCATGAAATATGTGATAAATGTGTAATAAGCAGTATAACGTTTACCCACCTGCCCACTTTCACCCTTTTCGATGCCCAGTAAATCGAATGGATCGAAGGGTGCATCGTTGATTGCGGATAGGGGACGCGAACCGGATGGATTGCGTCGACGACCTTCCTTGCGTAGTTCGGCTCTGTGTGCGGAAGAGAAATAATATTTTTATTATTGTAGAAATTGTGACATGATAAAACTTAGCAAATTAAATATTTTTATCAAAAAATACAAATTTTGAGAGCATAAAATACTATAAAAAAATAAAATTATGTGGAAAATGATAAAAATTAAATTAA